ACTTCTGGCTCTCCAAAGACTTGGTGCACCTGGGTTGTGTAGAAACTCTGATCTGGGCCTGAGTTTTTTCATCGAACTGCACCCCAAGCAATTCTATATTCCCAACCAGTCTCCTGTGAGTGGTCCTGTGCTGATTGGGGAGCAGATTGGCTGTCCTTGCTATGTCCCGATGTTCTCCCAGTGGGCCTATCTCCCCCACCGCCTGTGCTCCAAATACTTTCCATGGGATGGGCCCTGCGCTGGTCCTTTGTGATGACTCACCAGTCTCTGTATGGCCCCCCTTTTTCAGCTGTTCTGGCTCCTCGCTCCTGCATGGGTTCACCAGATCCCTATTAGTGGCCTTGCTGTCCTGGGGGCCATGAAGGCCCTCTTCTTCCCTGCCGCCTCCAACTAACTACATCTGAAGGGCACAGCTGTGGCCTCTGCCAGCTTCTGCTCCATGTACTTAGCAGTTCTAGCTGTTAAGTGGCCATGGCCCGAAAGTCTCTGAGTAGTTTTTTCTTTCTCTCATCATGGTTTCACCTTCATGAACTCTGTAGGTCTCTCCTCCTCTTCCCCTGGGCTCCTGCAGCCCCAGCTTGGCTGATGTTACATTTTTATACTTGTAAATTGGTTGATTTGTGGGAGTGAGTGACACTGGGGACCATCTATTCCACCATCTTGACTGGAGCTCCCCTCTCTCTACATTTTTAAATTGAATAATTTATATTTTTCTATCATAAATTGCTAATCCTTTCTTCAGTCATCTTGAATCTGCTGTCAAGCCCCTCTTGTGAATTTTCTTTTCATTTTTTGTACTTTCAACTGTAGAATTTCCATTTGGTTCTTTTTAAAATTTCTGTCTCTTTATTGAGAATCTTAATTTTTAATTTGTTGTTGTCTTACTTCCCTTTTATCCTTTAAATGTGGTCACCTTTGGTTCATGATACACATTTGTAATAGCTGCATTGAAGTCTTTGTTTCTTAAAAGCCAACATTTGTGGACACTCAGACAATTTCTATTGACTGCTTTTTTCCTTTTTCTTTGCAGGCCTATAATTTCTTCTTGCAAACTGGACATTTTAGATAATATATTGTAACAACTCTGGATTCTGATTTTTCACCCTGAAGGATGTTGTTGCTCTGATATTTGCTTGTTTTTTTGATTAGTAACTTTCCTAAATTAAATTGGTGAAATCCATCACCCCTCTGATGTGTGGCCACTGATGTATCTGTTTTGTTTTGTTTTTGATTCTTGTTTTTAGTTTTACATTTGAATTCCTAGGACTTGCCCCTGTGTCTGTGTAGCTTAATGGTAGGCTTGTGGTTGGACAGTAGTTGTGCTTAAATACTTCAAGTCAATATGTTTTTCCTCTGCTCATGAATCTCTGAATTGATAGAGGAAGGCATTTGAAGTTCAGGCTGTAGGAGTCGGCCATGGGCTAGCCCCATTCCATTCCCTGCAACACACCTCTGTTCCCCTACCCACCTCCCACCTCCCCCTACCACTGTTCCACAGCATCTTTGAATATAAAATAATAATAATAACAGTCAGTAAATAAATTTAATAAAATAGAGAAAAGAAAAAAAAGAGATTAATTAAAAAAAAATTTAGGCTGTATTCAGGTGTGACCCAGCTTTTACTTTCCACTGTGCTCTCTCACATCTTCTCTGTGCATGTGATCATTTAGCCTCAGGGTTGGCCAGGAATGTAAAGCTAGCTTTGTGCTTCTCCAGTCTACATTGTACATGCTCTCAGCCTCAGCAAAGAATAGGCTTGTGTCAATTATGACCATGACATTGGACCCTAATAGAGCTGTTGGCTCTTCTTGCTTGACCACTTCCAAAATCATTACTTCCACTGACAGCACTGCTGGGCTTAGGCATCACCCATCACTCTAGTTTGAGTGAGAACCATTTGACCATTGCAGAAAAGTTCTGGTCCTAATGATTTTCCATAGCCTGTAAGAAATTGTGTACTGAGTGAACTGTGGTTGGTGGTGATAAGAGTAATGTCAGGCCAGAATATAAGAGAGTCCTACTGTTCTTACCTAAAGGCTAGCAGTTTTTCAAATATAAAAGGTTCTCAAATTTTTGTATTCATTGGTCAATTTCTGAACTAAAATGGTTGTATCTGTCAATTTTGCAGAGCTCTATAGTTTCTATTTGGTTGAGTATTTGCTGATTTTACTCAGCTGTAGCTCCAAGTCCTGCTTCTGGTCTTGTTTTATGTATGCAATTTTTTCTTGATTTTCTTAGGATGATGACAAATTAACATGTTCTGTTAATTGATTTTATTTCTGTTTTCTTTGGAGTAAATTTTTTTATCTTTGTCTCAAATGTAAAAAACCATTTTTTTTCAATTTTTGAGTGCTCCTTGGCAGGGCATTCATATTAGAAAAGAGAAAGTCAAAAAGCTGAGTAGAAACTATATTTGGATGGCACAGATTTTACTGGTACTGTTTACTTTAGAGCGAATAGGTGGGGAACCATTAGTATGCTAGAAGTCAGCTAAAGGCCAGAATGAGGACTTTTCTTTGGGACACCCACACCCAGACTCTCTCTCCTAGTTTTCAAGACAGTTAATTCATTTGTTCAAACACAACACTTTTCCCATTCATTTATTTATTTATTTTCTTTACTCGAAGTCAGATATTTACCTCCAGACAGGAAAAAAACAAAGTAGTTGTTTGTACAAAAGGTGGGAAAGGACTTTCAGTGTTTCTTGGACAAACCTCCAGTTGACTGGGTTTTTTAGCCTCACTTCTTACTCCAAACTTCTGCCAAGAATATCAGGTCATTTCTTTAATTGTAGCCCTCTCTGCACACATTCTATAGTTTGGCTTTTCCCATTCTATTTCTTCTGTGAATTCTCTTTCATCTGTCTTACCTTCTACAAATTTGTAGTGATAGCTCTTTCTCTTCATTGTTCTGGGTTTCTATCCCCCCTCCCCACAACACACCTTTGTTATCTTTTTAAGGGGATATCTAGAGGCACAGAAGAAAAATATGTGCTGTTTGACCTTCCTAACTAAAAATTTTGTGCACATATCTTTAAACAGCTGCAGTGTAATGTGTATGTGCCCCTTTGAGTCCTGTTTTCACTTTTAAGCAATTTCTACATTACTATCCTTTTTCATAATTGTTGTTTGTAGTAGATGATAGACATATTTTTAAACAGTTTGTTTTATTTTTATTAGCAGTATAATGTTTATTGTTGTTTTAGTTACTGCCTCCTTCTCTTTCTTTATCTTTTCCTCCATCCTTCTATCACACACATTCACCTTTCCTCAAATGACCAATGTTGACATTGACAGTATGTGGAACAGTAAGTCTAATTTTTTTTCCTTTGGTCAAACTGATTGGCTGAAAGCTATCAAGAAGGGCACTTCGCCCTAGAATAGGTTGACATTGTCATCAAGAAAGCAATTTTAATTATTTATGGGTTTTCCAAGAAACCCTGTGATTTCAGCTATAGAGTAGGTGATGTACTGTATCTCTGTAATGGCTTCGTAGCATTGGCATCTCCACCTTAGTCCTTAGATGGAAATGAAACATTTCCCTCATTATAATTCCTTTGTCCTTCTTTGTTCAAACTCACTTCCCAGAATGGCCAAGTTGTCCATGAGGGTTTATACCTGTTTCTGATGAAATAGCAACTGAGATTCAGCTTAGAATAATGGATGTTGGTAACATTTAAGGATTTATACCAGAGAAAGGCAAGAAGTATGAAGAAAATCAATAAATATAGTAAGAAACAATTAGAACCTTCTTCATATCAGTTTCTTAGACAAAGTAGCCCTAACCAAGAGATCAGTTTTGGATGACCATGGATAACAAAATAGCCTTTTCTATTAATTAATGCATTTATTGTTTCACCTTTTTAAAATTTTCTTTTAGAAGATAAAGAAATAAAAAATACAGATTTTACAAATAAAGTGGTAAAACTCATTATTTATGCATGACGTAATATTATCAGAAAAAAATAAGAATTTAGTAAATATCCTGTATGAACACATCAATATACAAAAATTATACACATACATACAAATGTAAACAAAAAAATGGAAACATTTTTGCAAAGACATTATTTACAATAACATTCAAAATATATAGTGCTTATGAATAAATCTAACATAACAAGATGTGTAAAACTGTCATGGGGAAAATAATAAAGCATTATTATGTGACAATAAGACCTCAATACGTGAAATGATATACAATACACATGGTGTGGAAAACTCAATGCTTTACAGTTGCCGAATTTGATCAATGCAATCTCAATCAAATTCCTAACTGTCTTTCTTTTCATGGGGATAATATTTGACAAAAGATTCTAAAATTATCTGGAAAGGCAAAAGGTCAATATCCAACAATAACAATAGTGTACTTTGGTGGAGAAAAAGACAAATAGACTGGTGGAACCTTATTAGTGAAAGTATAGTCCATGGACCCACAGCATTGGTGGCATTACCTAGGAACTTATTAGAAATATAGAATCTAAGGCCCCAATCTCAAATCATCTTAATCAGAATCCATTTTTAACAGTATCCTCAGGAATCTGTTTTTAACGAGATCATCCAAAAGAGTGGGGATAGAGATGGTTTTAATAGATAATCTGGGCCAACTGGTAACTAAACAGGAAAAAGTCTTTAGATTGAGTGGCATTGCTTGTTTTATATGGTGCCTTACTTTCTTTGAGTAACCTTTCTTCTGGAACAATCAATTTTTAGTGATAATAAAAGGTATGTTTTAAATATGCATTTTATTAAGTGCATCTTTTATCCATGTGCCTACAATTTATGGGGTATCTTGTTAATAAGCTTTCTCAGGTATCCCATTATGGAGATGTCTTTATGTATTTCTAGCATCTCTTCTTTATGGCTCAAGACCATGCATCATAATTTAATGATAATACTGTCACTACCAGTGTAGACAACTAATGTTGTGAATGTCCCCCCCCCCCGCCCCATTGTGGCAGTGATAAAGCTTTGTTCAATTATTTTGTAGATACATTTTATATGTTTTGGAAAAAAACCTCTGCTGAAGATATTAAAGAAAGGACGGTTCTTCTACTGACAACTTGTAAGGAAATGATTTTCTACCTGCTTAGGATTAGAAGACCAGCTCATTCTTAGAGTCTTCTGAAATAAAATTAGGTAAGAAATGTTTTTCTTCATGTTTTGAATAATTTGTACTGTGCCTACTCAGTTTCCTTGAAGGCTTCTTTAATTCTATTCCTTTGGCCTGTAAGAGAATACAGCTAGCATTTTCCTTTAGGAGGATAGTGTGCCAGCCAGCTGTCAACTTTATGATGTACCTGATCTCCAATGTCAGGGGAAGCACAATTCAATTTTAAACCAAGCCTTCTGCACAATAGTGCAGCAAGGCTGCCAGATTTTCTCTTCATGTTTCTTTCTCTGAAATTCTCCATTCTACACAAACAGTATACTTTTATTTTTAAATCCTTTGTGTGAGATGAAACCACCGCTAACTGACTGTACTCGTCTTTAGTTAAAAATCAATGAATTGAATAAAGTAATCCATATTTCGGTTACCCTTTCTAATTTCTAGAAAATAAAATACCACTGCTTGTTTAACTTGTGACGTGTCTAAAAATGTTGAAAGCACTGACTATAAGGCATAACACTCAGATTCTGAAAGGGAACTGTGACAAGTTCAGTCAAAAGGGAAAAGAGGAATAATTTATAAAAGGCACTGCAGATAATGATGCCAGCCAGTTATTTTAAAATGCATCCATCTCACCTTTTAATGAATTAGATTTGTCAACAGCAAATGTTTTATGCACTACTTCTAATAAAAGTGGCATGCTAGGAATGCAGTGCTTTGAGGTTGGCTTCTTCAAAGCTTTAGAGTACCTTCAATTCAAAGATATTTTTTAAATAATAGATATTAAAATATATTTAAATAATATTAAGGTTGTGACACAAACACCAAATGACAAAATTTAGGAGTTTCAAAGCAGAGGCTGACATGTCATCACTATTTCACATAGTAAATGTTTTTTAAATTAGGAGCGTAACAGACTGATTTGGGGATTGTGTGTCAGTTTAACTTTAGATTCTCTTGTTGTTTTGGTTGGTGTCACAACCTTAATGTCAACTTCTCAAATAGGTTTCTACATTTCCTTTGGTTTGGGGTCATTAAAAAATGCATATGATAAATCTAAGAGGCATAAATAGGTCACACTAGAGTGGAATTCCTTGCTTCTCTGGAGTTGAGAGACAGCTAATAACTGCCTCATAAGTGGAAAAAGTTAGCTAAAGCATTTTCAGTAAATTTTTGTTTTTCAGGTATTTGATTCAGAAAAATGTAAACCCAATTAACAAGACATGATGTTGGTATGATTCTGTTCACACTCTATTCTTATACCTTTAATCCTAACAATTTGATCTTGTTGGCTATCACTTCTATAGATATTAAGAGTCACAGTTCACACAATTGATTTTTTTGCACTGAAAGCACAGTTTTATTTCATTTGGAGAATCTTTATTTGATGTAGTTGAGTACAGGTAAACCCTGCCTTATAAACTTCCATATGGCAGTCCTTTATATAAAGCATATTTATGGTAAAATCTTATTTTTTAAAAAGTAACACTTGTGATAGAAAGTAAAATATAAAGTAAAATCTAATGTGTTGTGCATTTTTAAAAATTTTAGTACAACACCAGACCTTAAAGGGGCAACCAGGGTTATTGCTTATCCCAATCTGCAGGGAAAGAGAGAAAGGAAAAAGAGGAAGGAGAGAATACTCCACTCACCCAAATTCTTCCTTTTTCCTTTGTTCTTATCTGTTGTGATCTCACAGAACAAGTTTGTATTGTCTATGTTGAATCTAGTTTTAATTAAGAAAAATAAATATGGTAGAATTTGTTGCACAATTGTTTTTTCATCACCTGTGTTGGAAAAATGAAAAGATAGGCAAATTATTTATTGATCTTTTCTTGCTGTCCCACTAACCAAAACCACTGCATAGCTCTCATCTTCTCCTTGGTTGAGCCACCAGATTTTACCCTTTCTGGTTTTTATCAATTTCTTCTGTGTTTTTTCAATGAGTAGTTAAATTTGATAAATTTCTTAGTTTTCACTTGGGAAGGTGCTATGAAATTTTATTTTTATTTCTTATCCTAACTTTACTCTTCCTATCCCCTGTTCCCTCCCATATAACATCATTATTGAATCACCACAATTCTGTTAAGTCATATTCTTTCTAAGTCCCAGTCCTCAGCAGCAAGAGATAATTAAGCTGCCCTGTGTGGTGGTTTGAAAATGTCTGTGAAGTATTTGGTTAAATCCTCCAAACTCATTTAAACTATAGCAGTGCTCTTCCTTGAATATATTTTTAAAATTATTGTTTTGTTTATACTAGTACTAGTTTTGATATCTATTTCATTAAAATGAAATTTTTAAAACAAAAATGACTGTTTCTAAATTCAGAGGATGCTATTTAAATAAATGAATTGCAACTCAGTATGTACCTGCAGTATAAAAAAGTTTTCTGGCACAGAAACAAAATATGCATTTTAAATATCATAGACCAAGCCAGCTACATGCAAATTCATTTAGAGCAGTTTCAGATTTATGTATTTAATAAAGCTGGGTAGTGGATCTAACTTAATGTATTTAATGTCCTCCAATGTACAGTGATGTTCTCATCACTGCCTGGAAAAGAATGATGACATTTTATTTAGTGTTTCTTCTAGATCAGTCAGTTCTATAAATGGCTTTATAATGGGATACAATATATGCTTTTAATAGTTTTCAATAGTACTAAGAGGTAACATTTGCTGAGTTCTTTCTATATGCCAGGGACTTTTCTAAGTACTATCTGTGGATTACCTAATGTAATCCTGATAACAATCTTTTAATGATATTACTATTTTACAAATGTGGTAAAGGTGTATGAGGAGAAGGTTACACAACTAGTTAGTAATGGAGGTGGATTCAAACACAGCAGTGTGACTACAAAGTTCAGACTCTGAACCCTTGCTATTCAAGATGTGATCCCCAGGCCAGCAGTATCACCATCACCTGGGGACTTGTTAGAAATGCAGAATATCAGACCTATTGAAAAAACTGCATTTAACAAGATTCCCAGGTGATCGGTATATTAAAATTTAAGAAACAGCTTTAAATCACTATACTATCACTATGCATCCTGCCTTTATATAAAGAATTAAGTATCTTTTAAAACAAATTTCTATTTTTATGTTTCATACTGAATTCCCATTTTTACATTAATTTGGGGATTCCTGTCATATTTTAAGTACATTATGATGAGATCTAATAACTAAACATAAGCAGGGATCATGGTAAACCCAAATCATTGTGAAATCAATTGTACAAAGAGCAGGAAAAAAAATAATCCCAAAACATAAACAAGTCTTTCTCTATACAGAAGCAAATAATTGTTCCAACATCTAAGACTCTTAAAATCACAGTGTAGGATACTGTTTGAGAACAGACTCAAGATAGGCTGCTTGGGTTTGAATCTCACCTATTTCTAGCTATGGAATCTCAGGAAAGTTATTTAACTCTTTTCCTCTTCTGGGAAATGAGGTCGAAAGCCATACATTACAGGATTGTGATAAGAATTAAATGAGTTAATGCATATAAAGGATTTAGAACAGGGCCTCTCATAAGTGAATAAATGTTAACTACTGTTGTTCTTACCTATGATTCCCATCTTGGAATAGAAGAGTTCACACCTTATACTTCTTGGTTATCTATTGGAAATAATTTGACAAATTTTTTTAGCAGAGCTCACCACATAAAGGGTGAGTCCATTTTTTTTGCTATTGGAGTCCGAATCACAAACTTCAGTTTTTGTATTTTCTGAAAACTCCCTGTGGCACTTTCTTTCTGCCTGTGAGTTCTGCTAAATGCCACTTGATTATGATACTTAATCACTTAAGTCCAGTGTAATCAGTTCAAAATCAAAATGAAATCTGTTAACAATATATTTCAATTTTAAGTATTATGTGCTTCTAAACTGAATAAAGATAATTAAGATGTGAGTCCTTTTGGTCAATCTCTTTCATAAGCAATACAGAAAAATTAGATGGATAAAAAATGTTTGTTTAAAGGCTGGATGCTCCAGAAACTGGTTTGTTTCCGTCTGGGTGAACATAATACTGAAATAGTCATGGTAGTTATTAGGGAAATAATGGTTTGGTGTGTAAGTACTCACCTAACAACTTTTTATACATCTAATGTATAAAATGAGAGCACATGTTTTTGGAAACTACCACTTTGAAAGCTGATTTGCCAGAGTCATTGAGATAAAAATGCTTTGTAAAAAGAATGTCGGACCAACACCAAGAGTGTTGAACTCACTAGATCTGGGATGGGGCCTAGGTGTTTGAAGTTTTAATTAGTATCTCGAGTAATTCAGCTTAAATTATTTTAGGACTACACTTTGAGAAACACTGCAGTACAGGCAAAAACATATACTGGAAAAAAAAAGCTTTTGTTGACTACCCATTTCAGCAACATTGTCCTCTTTGATAACTGTTTTTTTTCCAACTGCTGACCCCACTTTTTTTATCTTTGTCCTTTTTCCTACCCTCTGTTAGTGGTCCACAAGTCAATCCTTAATTTTCTGCTTTTCTCTTTTTCACTCTTTCTCCAAGAACCTCTCTCCTGGATTTATCAGTCATATCTTTACAGATGGTTCTACAAAATGATCACAAAGGTCTCTTTTTAACCTAAAAATCTCTGAACCAAACTACAGATGGAGAAATCAATTTAGAAGCTGTGAGCAGCATTAAAGGGGGGGAGAAAAGGAAAATGAATAGAATAGAAAATATCAGAGAAGGTGTTAAGGATGAGTAATGCTTTTTGAAGCTTTTGTTTAAGATATGTATGTACACACACACACATTTTTTTTCTTAACCTGTGGGTTATAGTCCAAAACTTTGAACAATACTGTCTGCGTCATAGTCGCCTGAGCTACAGTGTGACTTGATGAGCACTATCCTTTCTCATGTATTCCTCTTCTACATCTCGTCCATGTCTATTCTAGACATTCCATTCGTATGGCTCACTCAAAATCATCATGTCTAATACTGTATTTGCCACGCCTTCTTATCACCATTTTTCTCCTAAGTTTTAAAAATCTATTCATAAACTACCATTC